ATATATAATTTAATTCTTTGAATCTTTCTCCCCTCCCCAGGAGAAGTATTCGCCATGTTGTAATTAATTGCACCGAACGTTACTACACATATTATTATGCGAATAATTATCGTTCGTATCCTTTCCTAGAGAGAGAAAAAGTGAAGAAAATATCATTGCAGAATCGCGTAACTTATCCAAAGTCATATAATTCAGTGAGCTGAGCCGGAATGGTAGTGGTGCACCCATAGCAAGTATTTGAGGTATGATTGATTATCCAACTTCGAGCCGTTAAGACGGGTACGAGAGGCTTGAATTTAGTACTTGCCAGTGTTACTGTGCAAATATTTATGTGCCCTAAAAATATGTATTTGCTTGCGGATGAATACTCAATGGATGTCTGTTACTTGAGAAATAGCTATCTTAAATGTATAGTAATCTTTCAATGCCATACTATTTTAATTCCTAAAAGAGTTGTTGAAATGGGATAGGATCAAAACCTTTTTTGAAGTGAATGTATAGACGGTCATTGTAACCGGTGGAGTGTGTTCGGATCAGTTGTTCTGAGGAGAATAATTCTGCTAGACTGATATGTGGGAGAAATAATTCAAAGTTTGCTGTTCGTATGAGATTTTTCCAAGAGTTTGTTACGGTTGGACGAAAGATCTCTGCTTGCTGAAAGTTTGGTGTAAAGTCCATTGACATAGGTTGATAAAAGATTTGACCAAGCGGTATGCCTGTTGAGCTGGACGTTTTCATGTGGAATGTATACAGGCAATGGATCAATGTGTTTTTTTTTTTAATTTATTGCCTTGGATGATTCCATAATCAATATGGACTGAATTCGTTATAAATGAATGAGAATAAAAAACGCGGACATTCTCATTATAGATGACAGGAACAGTGTTGAAATAGCTCAGTTGTTGATTTGTCGCTGTTTAAAGAATCCATAAAGAGAGAAATCGAATGTGCTAACTTGCACACACAGATAGCAGCTCATTTCTTCGAAACAGAACAACTGCTATACAAGATTCAGAATGGCGATCAAAGAAATGCTCTTCATGACTGCCTATCATTTTGCGAATTTTTGAAGAGATTGGCCACAACGTTTCCAGATGATTCCGGCACGTTGATACGACACTTTGTATAAAGTACAAATTGTACGATCTCCAGATCATCACAGTGTACCGATATCTGTCTGCTAATTCTACCATTTTTATATGATAATGATCACCTAATTCCATTTAGCGATAATGGTCACTCTTGAAATAACAACACAGATAATTACACTTTCTGAATATTTTTTAAGAGTGACAGTCACGTTCAATGATAAAACAACATACTTATTGTGAACAGACATCGGCCAAACTTGAATTTATTCTGTTACACCAGTTAAATGGAATTATAATCAACGAGCAAAACTGACATAAAGTAAATCTTGAATGATGAGAGAGAAAGGAGGAAGCGTAACCGCGAAAGGAACAAATTCTACGATCGCGAGATTATCCTGCTGCATAGACATTAATTCAGTGATATCAGTTTGATATGATAATGGACACCGAATTCGATTCAAGCGACAATGATCACTCTTGAAATAACAGCGTACATATATAGCGCATGGATACTTTTGTTTCTAAAAGTGACAATCACGTTCAATGATAGAAGAACACAACACAAAATTGTTTATTATGAATAGATATCAGCCAGACATGAATTTATTCTGTTACACCAGTGGAATGGAATTATAATCAACGAACAACGATAGCGGAAAACTGATATTAAGTGAATCTTGAATGGTGACGTAACCGAAGAGGAGATGTAACCGCGAAAGGCTTACCAGAGAGGA